GGTAGTGTCGCCAATGATTCAAGGCTTCTCTGAGAGCAAACAACTCTCCCTCATACGTAGAAGCGGCGACCTTCTCACTAGGTAGTCTACAGGACATGAACTCAACAGGATTGTACCCATTTCCATCATTCTGTTGGAGTACAACACCTATCCCGTATTAATTGGTGGTTTAGAAATGTCGACCTAGGAGGTAGTGTCGCCAATCATTCAAGGTTTCTCTAAGAGCAAACAGCTCTCTCTCATACGTAGAAGCGGCGACCTTCTCACTAGGTAGTCTACAGGACATGAACTCAACAGGACTGTACCCATATCTATCATTTTGTTGGAGTACAGTACCTATCCCGTATTGACAGGCGGCAGTGGTAACGATAAATGGCAAGGATGGATCAACGATCTTCAGAACCGGGTACTCTATCAAGCACTTCTTTAAAATCTTAAAGGCTGAAGTACAATCTTTATCCCATCTTCGGACTGTCTCTTTCCTCAACAGCCTATGCAACAAAACAACTACTACAGTAAAGAGTCCTACGAACTTGCGATGATAGTTGGCCAGACCAAGGAATGATTGTAGTTCCGTCAAAGTACGTGGTGTCAGCCAATCCTTGATTGATTTTATTTTGGCGTCTTCCAACTTAATTCCATCTCCATCCAACACATCTCCCAAGCACAAAACCTGACGCTTGGCCGATTCACACTTCTTTGGGTTCAACTTAAAATGTGCGTCGCGCAACTTACTTAGCACTAAACGTAAGTGTTGTTGGTGTTCCTCTAACGACGTGCTAAAGATCAGAATGTGTTTATTCCCATCTGCACCCAAGGTTTGTGTTGAGCTATTACCGGGTGCTCTGGTACGGCTGCCAAGTCCTACCTCTACCTCTACCCCTTGGGAAAGGAGAACCTCTACCACCTTACAACAGACCATAACCCCTACCTCCCGCGTAGTAGCTACCTTCGCCACCACCCCTCTAGGTAGTGTGTCCTTGTCCTCCACCTCGTCCTCCACCTCCTCTACCTCAACCTCTACCTTGTCGCCCTCCCCCACAGATTGCAACTATCGCATAGTCCCCTCCCCGGGCTACTTGGTTGTTGTTATCTTCTAGACCATAATCTATTTGGTCGTATGGTAACGACTCTACACCTTCCTCGAAGGTGACCAGCAGATTATCCATCCCCTCTATACTACCGGATATCGTCCTATTCTTCCACCTCTTACCGGCTTGCAGATCCTTCTAGTAGTGGCAATAGTTCGCCTCTTGCAGGAAGCCGACATGGTCTACAACAATCTTACTAAACTTTTCATAAGTCATCCCCTCCTCTTTTGTACGAGATATAACTTGGTTTTAAGGGGTCTTAAGGGGTTCAGGAAGCGCTCTAGCAAAATTGTTCAGGATCTGAGTGGGGGTCAGTCCGTGTTCCGGACATTGTAGCAACTCATCCATAATGGCGCTAAGTGGCAATAGTTTGCCTCTTGCAGGAAGCCGGCATGGTCTACAACAATCTTAGTAAACTTTTCGTAAGTCATCCCCTCCTCTTTTATACGGGGATATAACTTGGTCTTAAGGGGTTCAGGAAGCGCTCTAGCAAAATTGTTCAGGATCTGAGTAGGAGTCAGTCCGTGTTCCTGACATTGTAGCAACGCATCCATAATGGCGCTAAGTGTCGACGCACTCACTTGCGGGCACTAATGTCGAGTATGAGGGACTCAGTACCACGGGCTAAGTTCTTATCTTCGAATCGGTCTTTCAAGGCCCTGAGAAAATCCTCTATTCTAGTGCGCTGCGAGTACTACACCATCGAGGTACTGCCTCCTTCACCAACGAAATTGCGCAGCTTGCTGCATCTCGCCCTAGACACGAACTCACAATAAGTATGCGGTCCCAATATGGTGTCAATTGTGCGTGTACGCGTCCTTCGCCGCCTCCCAATGAAAAATGATATCCTCCTTCCCAGTGTATGTCCAAGGAAGTTTTACCTTCATTTTCTCCCTTTGTTCTCCTCCCTCAGACTTATCTCCTTCCTTTCGTCCATCATCCTTACTAGACCCTTTCCTTTCTTATCGCCATCCCCATCATCGCCACCAACGAAATTGCGAAGCTTGCTGCATCTCGCCCTAGACACGAACTCACAATCAGTATGCGGTCCCAATATGGTGTCAATTGTGCGTACATGTACGCGTCCATCGCCGCCTCCCAATGAAAAATGATATCCTCCTTCCCAGTGTATGTCYAAGGAAGTTTTACCTTCATTTTCTCCCTTTGTTCTCCTCCCTCAGACTTATCTCCTTCCTTTCGTCCATCATCCTTACTAGACCCTTTCCTTTCTTATCGCCATCCCCATCGTCGCCACCATCTCCACCGCCACCTATCTTAACTGCAACAATGGTGTTAGTCAATTATTGAGTGAAGATATCGTCTAATTGGCGTGCATATTGTAGGACCCTATGGTCCACTTGGCTAGATGACGCAATAAGATAAGTACTCCAGATGCCCTTAAACTCCTAGTGTTGTTCTACCTTTCCAACGGCTCGTTGAAGCGCAGAGAGTTCTTGGGTGGTATGTAGCGAAGTGTCTGTTAGAAGGTTCCAACGTTCCTCAGTTTCTACTTGCTTCCCTTTCTGCTCCTTAAGCAAAGCCTACAGTCTCTCCCCTTCCTCCTTCAATCTTTTCTTCTCCTCAAATTCTTTTCTTCTTGCGGCCAGCAACTTTTGATTGAGTTCACCCTTCTCCTCAATCAACAACTTCCTTTCCTCTTGATCCTTTGTTCCTGCCAACTTCGCTACAAAACGATCACTCTCTTCATCAAGCTCTATCTGGTGCCCAAATTTCTCCACCCAGTCCAAGTCCTCAACCTGCTGGAGTCTCAACTACTCGATACCTTGAGCACACACACACACATTGAGAGATACATGAAATCCACTCTGGAGTCCAGATATGCGCAACTTAGGGAATCCAACAAATCATCACATTAAACAGTTTCAGAGACCTAGTCACCAAGCGCTCAACAACACAGAATTCAGCAATCCAATACCAGCATCCTCATCTAAGGTAGGTGACTCTCTTCTCTCCCTGGCTCACTCTCCCTCTCTGTCTTCTCTCTCAATTTGTCCCTCCTGGTCTTCTTCATGCATGCTCTCTCTCTCTCTCTCTCTCTCTCTCTCTCTCTCTCTCTCTTGAGAATCTAGACTCTGAATACATCCGCTGCCACTCAGCTATATCCCTACTACTAACTTACGCGGCTATGTTGCCTTCCCTCTCAGTGGAGCGCTGCCCAGCAGGGCTCTCGAGTGCATGCTATATTCGCGGATAGCGCGCAAGCGCTTCAGCAGCACTTCCACACTTCTCACGAATGAGCAATCTCCCCGAAATGTGGTTGGCCAGTACTTATATTGACTTGGACTGAGCCTCAACTCGTTCCAACCTCTGCTTCCTTTGGCTTGACTTGGACCCAGTACCACATGCCCACAGCCTGATTGCTTCAGAATGCCACTGCTCGAGTCTGTGAGTCACGACTTGTCATCTGTGAAACATGACTCTTGACTGTGGGTTGTGACTCTTGCCTCGGCAACACGACTTTTGCCAGGAGAAATGTCCTTTGCCTGTGGGACACGACTTTTTAATACAAGACATGACTTTTGCCTATAGGACACCACCTTTGCCTCTGGGCTGTGACTGTTCACCGGGTGCCAGTTGGTCTTGACTCTTACGGTACCCGACTGTGACCTTTCTGAACTGGTCGAATTGGCCTCCCTTGGCTTGAGACCTAGACCCTGAAATTCGAATTTGGGGTCTGCATCGTGGAATACCTTTCAATGCTAGTCAAAACCCTACCACGTTCATGCATGCAGGCCTTATGACGATTCCTCCAGAAGGTGTTAGGACGTGTTGAGTCTGTCAGAATATATCAGAATCTTCCACTTGGAAATACAAGCTCTTTCAATTTTCAATTTTTTTCCTTCTTATTATTTCTGCATATATCAGTCAAAACCCTTCCATGTCTGAATGTCGCCATAAACAACAAATAAACAACAAAGACTTGAAAAAACTCCAAAAAGGAACAAACAAACAAAAACCCAGGGTATGACGAAACCTCCAGAGGGTGTTGGGACATTTCAAGGCTGTCAGAATATATCAAAATCTCCCACTTGGAATTTCACGCTTTTTCAATTTTTCCCTGTTTATTATTTCTGCATATATCAGTCAAAACCCTACCACGTTCATCCACGCAGGCCTTATATCCCATGTATTGCCCTCACTCCCGAGGTTGCATGACACATCCCTCAAACTCTCTAACAATCTCTCAGCATCCCTGACACACCCTGACATCCTCTCGACCTCTCTCCGATCACTGACAACCTCTGACATTCTCTCGTGCTCTCTCCAACTCCTGATATATTTTCCCGACCAGCCGCACTGTCCACTTGTCCGCCAAACACCCCACCAGGTGGCGACAAAAGAAAATGTTTGAGGACAATCTCAGCCATGGGATCGACGATCCGAAGTCGAGCAAAAGGCCACGCCGGGCTGTGTCAGAGCCCGCTGCTGGTAAAAATTAACGAGGTGTAATCGATTTAATGACCTTGAAGGCTTGAATGTGTAGTGGGGTATGCACTTTGGTCCCCTATCCAGGTCCTTTTGGAAAATATTACATAATTCAACTTCACAGTGTTTGCCAACCGTGGCACACAGGTTGTCCAGCTGTCCGAATCTTGACACTGATTGCCCAGGGCCTGCCATACATCACACCCCACTACCAAGGTTTCCTTTGATTTGTAAATAACAAAAAAAGTTATGGCCAAATCATAGCATGAGGTAGAACAAAGAATCCCAAAGCCATAGAAAAAAATGCGCTCCAACAATTTCTGCAAACACTGCGCAGTAGACCAGACAAAAATGAAGTAGAAACCTGGGGAGGAGGATTTTCTTTTAAGGTATACAATCTAGAACAACACAAAAACTAGAGCATGTTGATGACTCTCTCTACTGCTGGGGCAGATGTCTTACTTGGGCAAGCTGCTTCAATCGCATTGATCAGCTCCAATGCCAGGTGTCGCATAGGCTCATTGTGAGAGCACATGTGAAGGAGGCATAGATATGACATCTGTGGGCCAGCCGTCAGAATTGAAACATGACAACCAACAATGGATAAGCATTTTTATGTTGCCAAAAGAAAACACCATATTGAGTGACAGATAAGCATTAAGAACGGGTCATTCACAACAAACAGCAGAAAGCAATGCCGAAAACCCCACAAAGTGTTCTGAAATGTTTTGCTCAAGTTGTTGACGAAGAGGTAGCTTGGAATCCCAGCAACCAAAAGCAATCCTCTTCCTCTTTTTTTCTTCTCAATGGTCCTGGCTCCATTCTATTCTGTGCGCAGCACTACGGTTCCTTTTCCACCCGCAAGTCAGAAAATGCATACAGATAACACAGACACAATCCCTTTTGTTACGGCCAAGGGACCTCCGGCAGCATTGGTCGCTTCAACTAAAATCCTGTCCTGCTTCCCTGAAGATATTACACCCCTTCCTTCTTCCTTCAATATCTAACATTACCAACCATTAGAGGCCAAATACGTGCACCCTTGTGTCTGGGACATGTACGGAAGCATCACACAATCTTCAGGGGGCATTAATTGCTCTAACAAGGGGATAATCAACATCAGTTCTGGTCGAGAATCAAGATCTTAGATTGTTCTGAAAACTCCAAACCCCAGAGCAAACAATTGTGTAGCCTTCCTGAACTGTCATGCACTCGAGCTTCTTAAGAAAGGCATGGCAATTTACAGTCCTGTTTGGAGTGCTTGACTTGCATGGACTCCTTATGCCAGGCATTTGTTGATTGAAGTATTCAAAAGCATTCACGCACATTGGGCTTATAACCCTAGGACAACATTCAAGTCGGACCTAGACAAGAGTCTTCTGGATGAAATATGCATAGCCATTGCCTTGCCAAAGAGTCCACAGCTCAGTACCCGAGGCAGTGTTCATGTCACATCTCAGCATGGCCCCACCTTTGCCGGAGAAACAATGTGAGCATTCAACCAGTCATCCACTCTCCGGCTCACTGTCTGCACAAGAGCTCTGAAGTATGTCAATGCCAGCTCTTTCGCCTCAAGTTTATCAACACTCTTCCGTATCCATGTCAGCTTGAAGCTTGCTGCTATAAAATTCTTGAGCCGATGAGCATTGTGCTCAAGAAGCTGCGCCAAAGCCTCACGAACATTTTCTCGAACGACAGGACCACCTTTGGAATGATGATTCTGACAAGTCACAAAAAGAGGAAAGTACGAATTAATGAGCAAAAATCCAGGACTGCTATATACGTGCTAGTAAAAACAGCTTTTCAGCCTTCCAACCCCTTAAGATGCTCCTTCAGAGTTGAAATCAAGATTGGCACATTCACAACAAGCATCCTCATTAAAACTTTGCACCGAACAACAAGCATGCTCATTAAAACTTTGCACCGAAGTATACACCAAAGGCCCCAGAAACAATCCCCCCACCCCCACCCCCTGCCTCCCCCCCTCCCCTCTCTCTCTCTCTCTAAGCCACCCCCAACCGTGCCCCCAATATGCTTGCTGCTATAAAATTCTTGAGCCGATGAACATTGTGCTCAAGAAGCTGCGCCGAAGCCTCGCGAACATTTTCTCGAACGACAGGACCACCTTTGGAATGATGATTCCGAGAAGTCACAAAAAGAGGAAAGCACGACTTAATGAGCAAAAATCCAGGACTGCTATATACGTGCTACTGAAAACAGCTTTTCAGCCTTCCAACCCCTTAGGATGCTCCTTCAGAGTTGAAATCAAGATCGGCACATTCACAACAAGCATGCTCATTAAAACTTTGCACCGAACAACAACCATGCTCATTAAAACTTTGCACCGAACAACAAGCATGCTCATTAAAACTTCACACCGAAGTATACACCAAAGGCCCCAGAAACAATCCCCCCACCCCCACCCCCTGCCTCCCCCTCCCCCCCCCCTTCTCTCTCTCTCTCTGTGCCACCCCCAACCGTGCCCCCAATATCTTTCTACTAACCCCATCAAAAGCCTCTCTGCTGACTTTCATTCTCACACCGAAAAGAAAAGGGGGAGAAAGCATGGGAAGGTGGGGGTGAGGGTGGGGGCCACAGAATAGTCTTCCCAGGGTTTGTGGGTGGTATATGCATAATATTGTCAGAAAACAGAGGAGACACACTTTTCAGGTTCACAGACTGTACAAATGTCAAATGTTTCCACACGTTCATCTACCTTAAGCCGCTTTGGTTTGAACACATATTCAACAGATCTCAACAAGACTCATATAGGTACTCGGTAATAAAATGTTATCCATGATGTCATCAGGAGGACAACATCAACAACAGTGAGAGAAGGTATCACAATGATAATGGTGATCAAGATATCGTCATCATCATCATTGTCATCATCGTCGTCGTTGCTGTCATCATCATCATCATCATCAAGATCATCATGTGCACCTTCGCATGCACATTCTTTGTTTTGTAGAGAAAAAAAGGGACCTGATGTACACACATTCCCATAGCTAGTAAAGCCCACAAACCTGAAGAAATCTTCGCGCACAAATTCTTTGTTTTGTGGAGAAAAGGGACCTGACCACCACTAGTAGAGCCCACAAACCTGAAGAAAGCGAAGGATATCAGTCTCAAAAGGCGAATCATTCACAGGACCCATTCCAATAAGCGCCTTGACTGCTCGAGCTACTGCTATTTCCAGTTCAAGAATTGCACTCTCTTCATCTCCTTGGCCGTCACTAAGAGCGTCGTCTGAAGCTGGATATCCAACGCTCCCTGCATCTGTGTCCCCAGTTGCATCAGGATTTTCAGATACAACACCAGAGGAGTCCACGCTGCTGCTCACTCGTGCATATCCACCAAGTCGCTGTGATTTGGCTGCAGCGCTTCTCGCACCCCTAACCCACTTGACAGTCAAGTTTCTGAAGACTTTCTGACGGTAGCTGAGCGAAGGCACAAGAGATTTTTGCTGCAATGTGTTCAAAGGACTGGAATCCTCAGTGGAAGATCCAACCACATTAGCAGAAGCTGCCTGCACCAACCCAAAACAAGAAAGGAAAACAGCAAATAATGTCAACAAAATCGATGTCCTGTGCACCACCTGATGGAACTACATACCTTCCCATGAAGGAATATGAAACCACTACCAAAAATCTGACCTTCATAAGAAACTAAAGCATTACACATAAGATGGAAAAATTACACACAAATGATAAGATGGAAAAATGTTAAAATAATCTACAGGTCTCTCAACAGGCTTAGGAAGCTACACAGCCTCTCTCACAACTTATGGGGCCTGAAGAAGAAGAAGAAGAAGAAGAAGAAGAGGAGGAGAAGAAAAAGAAGATGAAGAAGAGGAAGATGAAGACGACGAGGAAGCTACAAAAGACAGACTATGTGGAACAATTGATATTGAAAAGGCATAAACAGAAGGAATTAAGGCTTTTGAACCCGGATTGTTGGCTAAAGCCAACAGAGGTATTCTTTATGTTGTTGAAGTAAACCTACTAGATGATCACTTAGTTAATGTTTTATTGGATGTAGCTGCTTCTGGTTGGAACACTGTAGAGAGAGAAGGAATATCAATATCTCATCCTTCGCGTTTTATTCGAAGAAGAAGAAGAAGAAGAAGAAGAAGAAGAAGAGGAAGAAGAAGAAGAAGAGGAAGAAGAAGAGGAGGAGGAAGAAGAAGAAGAAGAAGAACAAGAAGAAGAAGAACAAGAAGAACAAGAAGAAGAAGAAGAAGTCTATTTTATACGAATAAATAAGATAAAAATCAAAACAAAGATAATAATAATATTTATTCCTGTCTTGATACCAATATAATATCAAAATAAATTGAAAATAACAAAAAGAGACAATATCAATATATAACAAATCAAAAGCAAAAAAAAATCATACAATAAATACAACAGATAGATACATTTATCGATCTATCTACCTATTGTGCGAGGCTAAAGCCCCGATGTGCCCCTTTCAGGCCCTGCCAAGCAGCACGTCGGTCGCCCTAAGTGAAGGCAGGCTCGACGAGGGCCTGAGAGCCCTGAATTTTGGCCACCACGCAACTAAGGAAATTCAGGCAGTTGCGCAGCGCCAGTTGGTTGAGAGAACCCAGGCCCCTGGTCGCCTGTGTGCATGAATCAAAGGCAGGCCCTGGGCTGGATACGAGAGGTGGGCCAGACACAGGCCGATGCCAGTTGGGCGCAAGCAACCACCACAGGCCCAGGGCCTGAGTTGTTTGGACTGGGCCTCAGCCTACCGGGGCCTACCGGAAGCTTCTTGGGAAAGGCCCAGCGCAGCCTGGGACAGAACGCAGGCAGGCCACTTCCATATAGCAAAGGGCCTGCCTCCGCATTCGGCATTCGGGTGCTGGCTGAATGCTGCGCTGAAGCTGGCCAGCGCTCACGCGCTTGCGGGCGAGCTGGAAGGAGCAGGCAGCCATAGCCGAGCTGCGCTGCTGTGAGCTGGGTGTGGCGCAGGGTGGTCTTGGGTGCATGTGGCATCTGNGGCAGCCATAGCCGAGCTGCGCTGCTGTGAGCTGGGTGTGGCGCAGGGTGGTCTTGGGTGCATGTGGCATCTGTGTGTTGGGGAACGAGGTTGTGAGTGATAAGAGAGACATACCTGGTGCTGGAAGCGTGCGGCATTGGCCGCTATCTGCTCGTACTTCGGGAGAGCTGTTGTCGTCATCTTCGACATTGTAGTCTAGGCTAGATAGGATCTGCCATCTGTAGTCTGGGCGCCAAGCGCCAGATAGGATATCAACATTGGTTCTTCGTTGATGATGATGATGAGACTATTCCAGCATTGTCAATTATGAGCTTTTGCTGTGCTCTTATTTGGTGAAACTCGTGATGCAATTCTGCTGTTGGTTCGAGGTCACGACTATCTGGTCTTATGTGTATGATGCTGTTTGATTGCTGAAGTTCGCTATTGCTCATCTTCCTTGCAATTGTATTTTCAAGAAATCAATAAATTGTTATTATTATAATTTGTTTTAGCTTATATATAAGGCTTCTTTGTTTTTAATTAACCAAATTTTGCAGAAGTAGAAGCTATTAAAAATGCAGCGTAAGTAAATATATAACCTACAGAGAAATGAGATAAACCAACTAATCTTTGCTTGAACAATTGAAAGAGCTACAGGTTTGTCTTTCCAACGAATTAAGGAGTACGTTCATGTGCCCAAGCTAGCGTTTCGATCAATTTTTGCCAATGACCACGCCATGAAATAAGGAACATAAAACCTGTTGCCCATATAAGATGGCCAAATAAGAACATCCAAACCCATACAAATAAACTATTCATTCCAAGTGGATTATAGCCATTAATAAGCTGAGACGAGTTTAACCATAAATAATCTCTTAACCATCCCATTAAATAAGTAGATGACTCCTTAGATTGAGATACATTTCCCTGCCAAAGAGTAATATGTTTCCAATGCCAATAGAATGTTACCCATCCTATCGTATTAAGCATCCAAAATACAGCTAGATAAAAAGCATCCCAAGCTGAAATATCACAAGTAACACCTCTTCCCGGTCCATCACATGGAAAACTATAACCGAATTCTTTTTTATCTGGCATGAGTTTTGATCCACGAGCATCTAAAGCACCTTTTACTAAAATTAAAGTGGTAGCATGTAAGCCTAAAGCTATTGCATGGTGGACTAAGAAATCACCAGGTCCAATTGTTAAAAATAATGAGTTATTACCATTATTAATAGCATCTAACCATCCAGGCAACCAAAGATTTGCACCTGCATTTAAAGCAAGGCTTTGATTAGAGGAAAGTAAAACATCAAATCCATAAAAGTGTTTTTCCATGTGTAGCCTGTATACATTGTGCAAAGACAGTTTCAATCAAAATTTGTTTTTCTGGAGTACCAAAAGCTTGCATTACATCATTATGGACATATAATCCTAAACTGTCAAATCCTAAGAATAAACTAGCCCACTAGCCCTAATTGAGATATAATAGCTTCTTTATGTTCAAGCATTACAGCAAAAAGTTATTTTCTTCTGGATTATAATCGCCTATAAAGAAAATAGCTCCATGAGCAAAAGCACCTTCCATTATAAAACTAGCAATATAGTAATATACTGATGATGAGTATACAAAGCAGCTTGAGTAGTAAAATCTTGTGCAATAAAAGCATACGATGGTAATGCATACATATGTTGACCTACCAAGGACATGATCACTCCTAAAGAAGCTAATGCAAGTCCTAATTGAAAATGAAGAGAATTCTTTAGGGTGTCATATAAGCCATTCTGACCACATCCAAGTCTTCCTCCAGGAGGTGTACGAGCTTCTAATATTCCATTTATACTATGGCCAATCCCAAAGTTTGTACGGTACATATGACCTGCAACAATAAATAAAATAGCAATAGCAAGATGGTGATGAGCTATGTTTGTAAGCCACAAACTTTGAGTTTGTGGATGAAAGTCACCAAGGTAAGTAAAGCAGTGCCTGCACCTTCAGAAGTCCCAAATAAATGGTTCATTGAATCTAGTTCTTGTGCATAGATACTCCAATTTCCCGTAAAAAAATGTTGTAATCCTTGAGGATGCAGAATAGAAGTTCAAAAATTGCCCCATCTTAAATGTTGTGCTCTAGCTTCTGGAATAGCTACATGAACCAAATGTCTAGACCAAGCCAATGAACCAACTCCAAAAAGACTAGATAAATGATGGTTAAGACGAGATTCTGCATTTTTWAACCAAGAAACACTAGGCTTCCATTTCAGTTGTAGATGTAACCAACCTGCTAAAAGAGCTGAAGTAGATAAGAATAACCAGAAGAGAGCTCCCCTATATAAATCCAAATTTGTATGCATACCTATAGTGAACCACCATTGACTTACTCCAGAGTATGCAATATTGATTGGACCTGACACTCCTCCCCTAGTGAAAGCCTCTACAGCTGGTTGCCCAAAATCAGGATCCCAGATTGCATGAGCAATTGGACGTACATGTAAAGGGTCTTGTACCCATTGTTCAAAATTGCCTTGCCAAGCTACGTGAAAAAGGTTACCATATGTCCATTAAAAAATAACAGCTAACTCAGCAAAATGAGAGGCAAATGATTTTTTATATATGGCTCTCAAAATCATGCGCGGTGGCAATGCCATACCAAATTCGACAAGTGGTCGGATCTTTGGATAGGCCCTGGCTAAATTTGGGAAATCTCGTTGCCATATTAGTTTTCAACGCCTCCTAGCCATTAATTTACGCTACTGAAATAGTTCTTGCTAGGAAGAATTGTGAGGATTGAGCCCTCAAGTAGGGGCCTTGCCATGATGTACATGTTCTGGGCTAAGGCCCCAGCAAGCCTAGTGCCCGCCCTAAGTGAAGGCGGGCCAGCAAATCAACAAGAGCCCTCTGTGCCAACATTTCACGAAGTGGGGTCTATACAGTTGCAGCACGCCAGTTGGTTGGAGTGCACCGAGTCTCGGATTTCAGCAAATGTTGAAATGCCCAGGGCCTCGTTAGTTAGGCCCTGGGCACTCGAATGTGAGGCCAACAATGCATGCTGGGTAGAGAGGCCGAAAATGCCAAAGGGAAATCGGCCCACTGTCTGAATCTGGCCGCAGGCCTTGATGAAGGAGGCGCAACTGCATTTGCCCCGGGGCCCAACTGTATCGAGTTGGCTTCAGCCTCTGGGCCCCGGTCACAGGCTGAAGGGAGGCTGCCCACACGCTGCACTGGTATATAGGCAAGCAGGGCGAGGCAGCGGGGATCTTGGCCAATGCTGGCATATGCGGGCACGCTGCGCAGATGCAAGTGTGCAGCGCTATGCAGGGCACTGGCGGCCATAGCCGGGCCGCATGAGGGTGCAGGGGAGGTGAGGGCGAAGGTGGTACTTCGGAGGTGAAGGGCGCTGTGTGGGTA